TGTATTCCAATACTCTGGGAGCATAATATAAGCATAATATAACTGTTGTTCTGTGGCCATGTGATTTTTTTTTCTCTTAGTTGCCAGGCTTGGGACAGAACAGTTTTATCTTTCTCATCCAGTTCTCAGCACTTCTAATGGAGTGGTAAAGCCTTCCCAATTACCGTGGAACGTTTGCAGAGAGAGCATTAGTGCCCGAGTGGGTTTAATGTTAAAATATTCAGTCTCCATTAGAATAAATGAATTACTCTGGTTTTAATTGCCCCCGGCCCCCAGCCCAGAGAAGACAATATGGAAGAGTTATTCCCTCGATTATTTAAAAATGTATACACATAAACTCCTGTCTGGTTTTGGAGAAGGGTGGGAAACAAACTGAAAGCTCTTAGTCTTGCTTTCCTCTCCACCCAGTTTGACAGTGTCAAACTTCTCAGGAAGTCGGCAAACACTGGGATGGCTTTCACAGGGGAGCAGAATATGATATTCTTTCAAAGTATGACTAATACAGCCAGATCCCTCCTAAGAATGAGCAAATGAAAGAATATTCCTACTACTGGCACATGCACTCGGCAGTCACCCGAGCTACAGGCAGTTTTAGGGACACCTTTAAAAGGGAATTTTCTGGCCAACTCCTAGAGGCTACAATATGAACATGTCCATCCAGCCCTGAAAAGCTTCAAGGAAGAAGGAGACAAACCAGAAATAGCAAGTATCCATTTGCCCCAGCGTGACCATTCAGATGACACACCCAAATAATTCCATTAAATGTGCTTATTATTTCTCAGCCACTGAAGAGAGGCTCTCACTTCTTAAAACCCTGGCCAACCCTCAGAGGCAAACTCTACTATGGGGTGGGAGGGGTGACTCTGCAAGAACCCAAACCACAGCAGGAAGGCAGAGTGGCCTGCTGGACAGGAGGGGTAGCCCTGGCCACGTAGGAAGTGCAGCAGGTCCCTGGACTCAGCTCAGGGTACAAGGCTGCCCCCTAGTGACGACTTCTAGGGATGCAGCTTACACTCGTCCAGAGTCTACTGGACACTTAACCAGGCTAGTCCTAGCATACAAGTCACAAAACTGTCATGCACAAGTATTCTCTTCTTACTCCTTGGTAAGAAACTTTGAGGGGAGAAGTTTCTTTCTTGAGACTACAACTAGAAGGTTTGGGATTAGACTTAGGTCCAGCATCTTTTTCTTTTCAATATACCTGGAAGCAGGAAGGTAGAATTAAGACTTGTGGAAAGGGAGGACCTGCTCAGTCTGAGCTCTGTACTATCCTAAAGAAAGTACTGATCGCTAGTCTTCCTTCCCACTCACAGGCAGATGTAATATCATTGCTCCTTCTGTTAGCAGAACAAATTGACAGTTTACCCAAGTGTTTGATCCTCTCTAAAACACTCAAGGAGGAGCAGGACACTTCGTTTATGTCATCAAGGCATCTCCCATCTTCCTGAAGCAGCAGGGAACCTGCCAAGCTTCCTCCACTGGACTCGGAAGTTTGAAAATCCTTTGATGTTGCGGCACCACCTCTAGCCACCCTCCAGAGAGAACGATTTAACTTGATCCAAAGCTATACTGATTGGTTGTAATGCTGGCGGGGGGGGGGGGAACCAGGAGAGAGGGGTGTCACCTTTGCCCTAAGCAGCTGCTCACTGAGATGGGGTGCCAATACCAGCCTCCACAGTATGATTTCTTAAGGTTTTTGGAAAATGCACATTTTCCAGCCTGCTCCAGGCTTACTGGATCAGCATCGCCAGAGGTGGGTCCCCATTTTAAGGCGTCACCTGAGAAAATCACCTGTCACCTGTAGTTTGAGCACTGCCCTGGGACAAAGCTCCAAGACCAGTTACCCTTGATATTCTTCACCATCCTCAATGTTTCTCACATGCCCCAAATTTAATAACACACTAAGGTACGTGCACTGTAAGTAAAGACATTCGAGAGATTTGAAGACATTTCATCACACCACCACTAATTGCCTGCCTATGTAAGACTGCACATGTCTAAGGGTGACTAAGATTAACACCAGCCATAGGGACCTTAATGCTGAAGAAAATTATGTGGATAAATACAGGCTGTATGTGACTTGCACATCAATTGAAGGGCTCAGAACATAACTTTGGACATGTTGCTAAATAAAATGGCTTTGCCAGGTAGAGGGGAAGAGAGACTCATTCAAGAGAAAAAAGTGAGTTCTTCCTTCACTAATATAATTCCACAGGCCAGAAACCTGCAACCCTGTGCTCCCCTGTCAATGGCTTCAGAGTGCACACTTGCTGTTTGTTCAAGTATTGAAAGTCTCTTGTAGTTCCCTTGCCTGTCACCTATACCCGTCCCCAAGTTGTAAACAGTTGTCCTGGGGTATAGCTTGCACACTGCAGAAAACATGAAGCTAGCTACTCACTGATGCTAAACTTCTGCCCCACAGGGTACCGGTGGCCTTTGCCTAGCAAGCTCTGTGCGGTCTGGATTTACCTGGATGTTCTCTTCTCTACGGCGTCTATCATGCACCTGTGTGCCATCTCCCTGGACCGCTATGTCGCCATCCAGAACCCCATTCACCATAGCCGCTTCAATTCCAGAACCAAAGCCTTCCTGAAAATCATTGCTGTGTGGACCATATCTGTAGGTAAGCTGGATCATCTGGCAGGGTTGCATTTGAAACTAGAGTCTTTCCTTCCCCAGGAGACATGTTCCATTTGGTTGCTCTGAAACCTGACCCTCTGAGTCTGTTGTTTTATGTGTTGCAAGGCATGTCTCAACTTCATGATTATTGGAGTTGTTTTAGGAAAGGAGAATCTGTGGATGCCAATGGCTGTCAGCATCTGTTGGTATTGTTTTGCATACATAAGAAAAAGCACACTAGCAGAGCCTGAGGCAGGAATGCCTGTGTTCTCCCTCACATCCAAGCTCAGTACTCCAAGTCTTGGGTCTCCTGGAAACCTGAGTTTTGTCATTACTGGACTATGATTGCTATGGGCACTTGTCCCATACAGCATAGGCCTTGAAGGAGGATCCAGAAAGGGGCAGAAGCTAAGAACAGAGGGAAATGGCTTACAGGCTGGGCATTGCAGCTGCCTGGTATCTCTGTGGTCTTTCTCCTGTGACATCCACACACCAAAGGATTTCAACCCACTTCAGTTAGGCCCAATTACACACACTCAAATCTTACTAGTATTGATCTTCTGTCACCATAATAGGATCAAAAGGGGCAGCTCTCAGGCAGCAAAGTCAATTTCACCTGTCACCTCAAAATACTTAGTCTGTAATCAAAGATTCCCTGAGACCTGCTGTCAAGTCTCAAAGCTTCTTAGAAAGAAATGCTGTATTTGCTAAAGCCCTTGGGAGATGGTATCTACTTCCAGGAAAGACTGCAGGACTTGATGGTAGGTTAAAATTCCAGAACTCATTTGATGCTACTCACCACTTTGTAATTCAAAATACCTATTAATGGGGTCAAAGAGATGCCTTAACATTAGGGCTCTTGCTGCCCTTGCAAAGGATCTGTTTTGATTTCCAGCACCTACAATGGTGGCTCACCACCCAGTTCCAAGAGATTCATCACCCTCTCCTGGCCTCTTAGGGCATCAGGAACACACAAATGTGCAAACAACACCCATAACACATAAAATAAGAGTAATTTTTAAAATAACTATCAGCAAACATAGTTTGTGCTCATTGGTTTCTTTCCTGTTTATAACAGGAGTTAATGTGACATCATCTCCACATTGTAGATGAGGAAACGAGTGTTCTAAGAGGGAAATGAGGGGCGTGTGTACAGCGAGCATGGGCACAGTGGGCACTCTCTGGCTCTGCTGGTAACAAGGATGAGTTGTGTGTTACACAGCGTCTTTGCACATTTTTGGAAGACCTCATCTGGTTTTCATCTTGAGCCTTATGTTATCTCTAGAGGTCAGCAGCACAGACAATACCATTGTGTTCGTTTGATAAGTTGGGGAACCTCGGGAAATAGGACTTGTGGTTTCCTCAGTCACAGTGCCATAGGCTTCTGGTGTGGAGCCCTTGTCTTTCTGCTGAGTGTACCACACCTTCCTTAGCTGACAGTTTCTGCTCCAAGAAAATGCTGATGGCATTAATCTGTGCATCCCAGGGCTTGCCCCACCTAAAACAGCAGCCAGCTGTTCCATCCAAGCTCCCTGTAACCACTCCAAAGACCCTTAAGTTTCAATGACTGAATGTTCCTGAGAGAGGTCCATGGTTTAGGATCCTGAACCAGAGTATCAGAGAAGGAAACAAGAGCAAAGGATCAGGGGCAAATCATGCAGCAAAGTACACTGGCTTCACTGCATAGACTGTGCCAAGCAGAAACTGAATTGACCCATCACCTTTTCTTTCTCTCTCTCTTTCTTTCCTTCTTTCTTTCTTTCTTTCTTTCTTTCTTTCTTTCTTTCTTTCTTTCTTTCTTTCTTTCTGTGTGTATAGAGGTTCATGTGTCTGCACATTCAAAGTGGTGGCCAAAGGCTGATGTCAAGTACCTTCTTTAGTTTGTCTATACCTTATGAATCAGGGTCTCTCACTGAACCCAGAGCTTGTCACTTTGACTAGTCTAGCCAGCTACTTTGCTCCCAGGGATCCTGTCTCTGCATCCTGAGCGCAACGGTTACAGGAAGCCCATAACATGTATGTGAGTGCTGAGAATCTAACTCTGACTCTCACATTGTACAGTAAAGACTTGAACCCAGTGAGCATCTCTCCAGTCCCAGAGTCTGTTATCTTACCCTTGCCAAAACAACTCCCCATCTCTGTCAACCTTCATAATGACACCATTAACAAAAGTTAGAGATTCTGAGCATTGTACAGACCTAGTCACGTACAAAGCACCTTGCAGATCAGTCCCTTATGTAGGATAGCAGCACTTAGAGTCAAGAGTCATCTCGGGCCAATCCAGCTCTAACGTCTGTACTTTATCTACTACCTAATAAGGCTGTCTGCCCTAGCTCTTTCTGGCTGTCATCCCAGGAGAAAGACAGGTTGGAATGGTTGTAGAGATGCTGACCAATGGACATCGTTAAAAAGTGTTGTTCAGAAATTATCATCCCTCTGTCCTGTGGATAGTCTAGAGTAAGCCAGATGACTAGTGTGTGTTCAAATGTCTCTCCCAGTATGTTAGAAGACACTTAAATCTGAGAAAACTAGAGATCACCCAACGTTGTAACTATATGTGAGGTGGTGTTCTGAGAAACAATTAGATAAGAAATGCTAAAAATAAAAAGGCAGTTCTACTCTGGGTCCTGAAGAAGCCCAGCACTCACTTCTTCCTGACTTGTCTTCTCTTGTTTCTGGCTCTACTGTTTTGTTTTGGGTTTGAGGTTTCAGTTTGCTCTGCTTGTGGATTTATATTTGGACCCTTAGTCCAACTGGAATTGTTTCCTATTGTTTTGTTTTGTTTTTCATCATGTATAGTCAACAAATGAAACTAATTTCGAGATGTACACTGTGGTGATTGAACATACAAATATTTTGTAAAAGGAATATCACAATTAAATTAGTTAATTCCTACATCCTCTCACCAAGATGCCTTATATTTTGCAGTCAAAACACAGAAACAATTACAAGAATAAAAGTCAGAATTAGCAAATGCAGACACCACATCATTCACCAGGTCCCCTCAACTAACCCATCTCTCCTTCCTCCGATCTGTCTCTGGTAATAGAACCAGCCTTGCCAGAGATGAAATATGCTAAGAAGATGGTTCTACCCTCACTTCTGGTTAACAGATTATTTAAACATGAAACCCAGTGAATCAACATTTCCCAGAGTCCCATGCTGAAGGAAGGGAAAGACAGAAGGGAAAGAACTTGCAACTCTGGAAGAGAGCTCACACTAATCTGATGCTTTATCAGGCCACTTTGCAGAACCAACCAGAGCCAGACAGCGATGCCCAGTGCTGAGTGTACCATGCTTTAATCAGGACTGTCTAATGACACATTTTACCCTCTATTGAAATCTAAAGCTCATGGCAGGATCCCAAAGATGGATTTGGGGGTCACTGGACATTGTTGTCCTTCTCAAGGTATTCATATTGACTAAGTTCCCTTCCTCTGCATCTCTGGATAGTTCCTTTTAATTGGCATGTCGCTTGTTGGAAGCTGCAGAAGCCCAGATTTTTTACATTAAAATCCCTGCTAACAGTAAATCTCACCCTACTGTTTCTATAAATTCACCCTTTCTTAGATCCCATGTATCAGTGAGATCATGTGTCCTTATTTTGCTTTCAAGATTTATCCACACTTTTGGAAATGGGCAGATTTCTTTTCTATGTCTGCATAGTACAGAACTCTATTTGTATATGACCTACTTTGTTTTCAATTAACAGTTAAAGATTTTACAGAGTCTATTGTTGAACTTTTTTCTTCAGCTTACTGATATATTCAACTTCTTGATAACTTGATGAATACAGAGCTAAACTTGGATTTATGCAGTTTCTTTTTCTAGCTTCCTTAAGTGAAGTTCAGAGGTTGACATTTTTTTCCTTTGTGGTCTTTATGTAAGGAAAAAGTATGTATAGAACTTAGTCCTCGCTGGTGCCATTTAATTTTTATATATATATGCACACACACACACACACACACACACTTCTTGGAAACGTAAAATGTTGAGAACTATTTGCCCTGTGGTCCGTTTGTGTTTGTACACATAGGTGACTAAGACCCACTGAAGCTGCCCTATGACCTGGGCATGTGTTTTCCACATGCAAACTATTCCACTGCCATGTTCTACTTTCTTCACTTTTGCACTGCTGCCTGGGTCTGCAATCCTCACTCCTGAAGACTGCCACACACATGTCCTGCTTCTCGTTTGCTCTCTGTTTTCATTACTCTAGATACTCTACCTTCATGTAAAACACACATTTCTATAGTATAGAACCTACACTGATGTGGTGACTCAGACTCATGATGCCAGCTTCTTGAGACTCTGAAGAGCACAAATTCAAGGCCAACCTGGGCAACTTAGTGAAACTTTGTCATGAAATAAAAGTTGTAAAAAAAAATCTTAGTCTGTAGCTCAAAAGTAGAATATCTAACCAGCATATGTGAGGTTCTGGGTTCAATCCCAGATTAGAAGTAGCTGAAGGCATAAGAATCTGTGACACGAATTGAAGCAAGAAGAAAGTGGTCTTCTCAATAAACAAACAAACAAATAAGTCAAGTCCAATGAATAAGTAGATAAACAAACAAACAAACAAACGAATGAAGCAAGCAAGCAGTCTCTTTCTTCCAGAACTTTCTCCATGGCCTTCTGAATCTCTAGATTATTTTAGTTTGTTCTTTGTAAGAGTTCAGCTCTCTGTGTCGACAGAAGCCACTACCGTCACCCTGGCTTCATAGTGTCTTCGTCTGTGTTTAGCAGTTTTCTTAAGTGCTGCCCAGAAGTCGGTTACTTTTGTCTTCATCCTGAACTTGGTTTTTGTGGATTCCTAACTGTGATCTTCAACGTCACCTTGTCATCACTTTGGGAAACTCCTAGCCGTATTTTCACACCAGCCTGTGCTCCCTTGCCCTCGCTCTGAGGCTCCAGCTCATGTCCATGGAACACTGGCTTCTTAGTGCTCGGTTTCTACATTTTCTTGCTTCAATCCATGTAACAGATTCTTGTGCCACCAGCAAC